TGGGTGACCTCTTGCTCTACCAGCTCACTTCCAAAGCAAAATCCAGTTTCCCAACCTTAGTAGCAAATATTCTGTCTATTATAAGGAAAAATAAATTCAGCTATTGATGTAAATGCTGCTGAGCAGCTAAGAAAATAGAAATGTATGATGCTAAAAGAGGCTTTTCTGATACAACCTGAGCTGTTTGCACAGAAGCACATGCAAGAATCTTCAGAAATCAAGTTCTAGCTTTTAAATTCAAAGTAAGAATTGTATATTTTTCCCCTTTCTCTTGGTAGATTTGAACATCCAAGCCTTCCTCAAGAGGCAAGAGGGGCAAGACCCTCATCCTTGTCAGCATTAAAGTTGTCAGGATCTGTGAAATTGAATGCCACACTATTTCTGATGGGGTGGACAGAGCAACTGATGGCACTCATAGTTCTCAGTTCATTAATAGCTTATGGGGAATGTGCAGTTAAATGGTGGTGACATGTTTCAGAAGCATCATTATCCTCATAGAATAAAAACTCAGTAAAACCTCCCTTTTTACTGAAGACTTGTCTATTCACAAGTATATTTCTGCCCTACACTTAATGCTGAGAACTTACTTTCTATCTCCTCTTCTCCCTGCTTCAGCTAGATGCAAGCTGGCAAGGGAAACACTGAGGGTAGAAAGTAGAAGTTAAGAGCCAATCAGGATTTTATTTTGTGAAATTACAGTGAGAGCAGAGGAATCTGGAAAATATTTGCTTTAATTTCTCCTCTGCGTTTTGCATCCCAGGGGCCAGGCTTCTGCAGCGAGGCAAAAAGCCAGCAGCAGGCACTGGAATCCCCAGTGGAGATAGGCTTGCTGCATTAGCTTCTTCCAAGAACTGAAGGTGCTGAACAGATGTTAGGCCATCCTAACACACATCTGTGGGGCTGGCTCAGGAAAGGTATAGCTTCTTATACCTGTACTTGCCACTGACAGCGTCACTGCTGGTGGACAACAGGCTTCATTTCACCAAGAGACCTGACTTTGCAACTATTGAGGGCCTGCTGCCTCTTATGGTACCTGCTAGTCACAGAATTTTAGAATCGTAGAATTTTAGAATCTTAGAATTATTGAATTATAGAATGGTTTAGGTTGGAAGGGACCTTCAAGATCATCCAGTTCCAACCACTCTGCTCTGGGCAGGGTGCCAGTCCTGTTGGATGATAAGGCCACATAGAACGCCAGCTCCATGCCAGCTCCCCACTGCTTCAGAACAAAACCAAACAAATGAGGAAAAACCTAATAGACTGCACATATTAATAAATGATGGCTTACCTGTTCATAAGCCTGATGTCTTGGGAAGATTTAAAACAAAGCCCTGAGCTCCAGCTTTTTAATTTTCAAATTTCAAATAATTTTCAATGCTGTCTCCTATTGTGTATGCTTCAACTCCTCATCTTGGTACAAACTGGCAAAACTGAAAAAATGGGAAGAGGTGACACGGGAAGGGGTGACACAAGAGTTGGTGACAGCAAGAGCCTGCTGGCTGGTGAGGCTGGGCCCGTGTTGAGGCTGCAGATGGAGGAGCTTCTTCTGGAAATGCTGGGTGGTGTCCCTGCCAAAAATTTTGAAGGCTGTCTCGCATGAGATGAGTCCAGGAAGGGAGTATAGTCAATGGGCACAAGAATCAAAAGTGTGGACGAGTTTCTCATTCCTGGCCTATTTTAATTCAGATCTGAAGCCAGAGTCTGGTAAGGAAGATAAAAAACAGATTAATGAAACCTCAGAATTTCAGCTTAGATTAAAATAATATTGTTCAAATATACTCTGGGGAAGAAGGCTTGACAATAGTGAGGATGCCAGCATAGTGTAAGTGTAGCACAATGCGACATGCTGGCATGTGGTAATTTTAAGAGCCAGAAGTATCTTCTCTTAATCTATCTGAAATGCAAATGCAAAGCCTGCTTTCCCTCTTCTCTCTGTGTTTTCCTGACAACCGCTGCCAGGATCCAGCCACCAACTTGTCACCACAAAACTATGTCGGTACATTGGCAGCGCTGAGGTGTTGGTCTCAACCTTCGTATGCATGTGTGTGTGTGCGCCTTCCTCACACAGTCTGCAGGCCAACGTCTGGTTTCTCAGACTGACTCAGTCCTGTTGATAGCCAGCAGGAGGGGAGCCAAGGTTTTGCTCTGAGAACAAGGTGCCTGGCACTCTGCAGCAGGGTTCTGATCCTGTGCAGGTCAGTGACAGGCCTTGGTTGTCAGAAAACACACAGGGGTGGTTTAAATAGAACCTTTCCTAACCCTGAGTTTTCCTTAGCTCAGTTCTGTGGAACGGACAAGAACCCCATTTTCACTATTTAAGTCGTCTGTCTCATTAGAAATTCAGGCTATGCTTAGCTCAGAGCACCTTCAGGATTCTCTGCAATGAGTGGGGACTACAGATTGTTTGCTGCACTCTTTTCCAGAGAAATAAATATAGCAATCTATTTTATGGAAATGGGATGCAATTCACGCATTATTGAGCTGTAGTGGGTTTTGCTCTTTTAAAAGTCATGGTGAAAACAACAGCCTTCTTACTGACATTTGAAAAATAACAGGGATATTTTCCCTGTCTTCTCCTTTTGTAGCTACTGAATGCAGTATACTAGAATACTGTCCTCTTGCTTGCAAGATCTTCTAGCAGCTTCTTGCTCCTCCCTGTACCCCTTCTTCTCTCTGGTTTTCCTAATATTTTAGTACACTCTTTACCAGTATAGGAAAATATTCTGGAAACAAAATCATAATGAATTATGTTTTGTTTCATTTTAAGCTGCTTTATTTAACACAACTCCACAGGCTATATCATGGCCAACTAAGGCACCTCACAGAATTCATCCCACCAGGGTGCTCTCTGTTAACTTTCTGGCGTGAACTGTCAGAAGCAAGATTAGCACACATCTCCAACAACACAACACTTCTTGGTACCAACAGTGTTGTACAGAATCATGGAATCACAGAATCACAGAATGGCCAGGGTCAGAAGGGACCTCAAGGATCATGAATCTCCAATCCCCTGCCACACGCAGGGCCACCAACCTCTACATTTAATACTAGATCAGGCTGCCCAGGGCCCCATTCAACCTGGCCTTGAACACCTTCAGGGACGGGGTATCACATCTCACTCTGATAAATCTTCCTCAGTTCTGATTTTGGAGGGCAGTTCCACACCCATTCCTTCATAGCAGCAATGTGCTTGCTGCTCACACAGCCATCCAGCAGACATTCCATTAGTTGCTCTGCACCAGATGAGGTGGGGCACACCTCTTTGGTGTGCACCCATCACCTGCAACAAGCACTACAGCTAATGGGGAGGTAGGATAATCATGGAGTGAGCACCATGCGCTTAAATAAGAGCACACAAAATGTGTTTAAACCTATGTTTGAATCACAGAATCATGGAATTGTAGAGGTTGGAAGGGAACTCTATAAATCATAGAGCCCAACCCCCAGTACTTTGCAGAGAGTTGCTGTAGGGAAGGAAAGAGCATCAAATGTGATTGCATTTCAGGGTGGATGTGGCCTGGTCCCAACTCCAGCCGCAGTCTGCACCAGTCATGCCCTGACCTTTGCTGGATACAGCCCGTAGCTGAATTCCTCTCTGGGGCAAAGCTTGACAGCAAAACATGAGAAGGGTATTGAAGGGATTTAATTGCATAACTTGCAAGCCTCAGAAGGAGTTGCCCATGTAAGTTCTCAGTGCACTGTGGGAGTATAGGTGTCTCAGTCTGTGTGATAGGGCATTTCAAAACCAACTGTAGTAATATAAGCAGTAACTCACAGACCTTTGTGAAAAAAAACAACAACAGACAGGGAAGTTCTGCATAAAAACAAAAGGCCAAAAGTGAACAAATAAGCTATATGTCAGATGCCATTCAACAGATTATTTAAGGTAAGCTGGAAGATTGAAAGAGCATCCCTGTTTCAGCTGGTGTTGTTGCATTTCCCATAGCTGTGAGCCCACTCTGACAACTACTTATGAGCACCATCTCACTTGGGATACTCCACTAAAACCTTTGCTTTTGGCCACATAGATTACCAGGATTTTGCAATATTCTGTGAGTCTTTGGTACAACAGAGGACCTCTTTCATAGAGGCAGAGCTAAGCAAGAAGTCACTTTGATAAGCTGTCATGAGGGAAGGAGCCTGGTACCAGTGAGGCAATGGGACACTGGACATGGACATGCCTGAAGTCACATCCTGCAGCTGGAAATGGAATGGAGCTGAAGGAGGAAAGCAGCCATCAGAGGGGTAAAACACCAGTCTGAAAGGCACACCAAAGGGCAGGCAACCTGGAAAACAGAGGTCATGCAAGGAGTCTCGGTGTCTGCAGACTGTGCCAGTGCTGTGGGAGCAATGTCTGTACTGCTCCAGGTGGTGCATTTAATTGGCAAATTCAGTTTTGTTCCCTTGGGCATGGAGCCAACTGCTGTTCTGAAGTTGTGGAAAGCAGGGAGTAAGTGGGAAAGTGGGGTTTCCATGCTGCTTATACATTCAGTTTTGCTGACAACAGGGGAAGTGCATGTTGAGTATTAGGGAAAATTTTGTCTCAGAAAGAGTGGTCAGACACTGGAACAGGCTGCCCAGGGAAGTGTTGGAGTCATTGTTCCTGGAGGTGTACAAGAAACAAATACATGTGATGCTGAAGGACATGGTTAGTGAACACACTGGGGATGCATGGAGGTTTCCCCAGATGATTTTAGTGGTCATTTTCAACTGTATTAATTCTATACTCCTGTGAATCTATGATTCAGTGAAACAAGGTGACCTCCAGTTTGTCTCTCCCATGACAATGGAGATTGTCTGTCCATCAGCAGATGGTTGTGAAGCCACTGTTTCTGCTGCAGAGCACACTTCTGCAGGACAGCAGTGGGATGAATTCTCAGCCCCCACTGGCTTCTCCAACAAGGCAGTCCTTTGCCTGCTGTGCTATGGCACCCAGTGGGATGGGGTTGGAAGGGAGTGGCTCTTCAGTGTAAGTGAGAGAGGAGTGAAGGAGCTGCCAACTGAAGAATGTAAAACCAATGCTGCAGCTAAAAACAAAGATGATGCTGCAAAAATCATTGTACTGGTCTCCTTCTTTCCCCTCCTGCCTCCTTCCCTTCCTATTACACACCCTGGATTTCCAGCAAGGTGGCTTTTACTTGCAGCTCTGTCACTTGACAGAGATGGATTCTCACACGTGCCATGCACAGCCACCTTCCTTTCCCCTGACATGTGCTCTTCACTCCCTGCAGCTCCGTGCCGCGTTACTACTGACAGCCGCGCTTATTCCCTCTCCACTGCCCCTCGGCGCTCCCTCCCCAGCCCCACCAGGCTGCTGCATCCCTGCAGACCCACTGCCTGTCTGTGCGGGAGGTGCAGCAGCACTGCTCCCCTGCTGCAGTCCTGCGGGTCTGTGCGCACCGCAGATGTCAAGCTCCTGCCGCGACCCAGCGCTCCATAGGAGGAGCAAATGAGCTGAGACGTCAAGGCAAAAAATTATAGCCATGCGAGCTCTCCCTGTGCTCAGCTGCTGCGAGAGTGCATACATGGCTTGTGTGACAGCAACAGCGCACAGAAGCTGCAATGAAATGCAGTTAGCAATACAGCTGGGAGACAGACAGCGAGGCAGGCACTGGTCCAGCAACTGAAATGATCCTACCGTGAGCCAGCCCGCAGCGCCTTCAAAAGTGGCTGACTACTGCACAGGAGCTCGTCTTTCTTTGCAATTACTCCAGTTCCCCCGGGTGACTGCAGTGTGTGTTTCGCTTCACTCTTGTTGCTTTTTTGTTTGGTTTTGTTGGCACGGGGTTTTTTTTTTCCCTCCTGCCTCCTTCTCTCCTCCCGTGTCCTTTTCTCCAGGATGGCGGAAGCAGAGTTGCACAGGGAGAGGCTCCAAGCCATAGCAGTAAGTCAGCTTTGCATTACTTGCTCTTTTGTCTGCGGCCGGGGGATCCGCAGGAAGGGGGCAACGGGCAGCAGGGTTGCCGCCAAGTTGTGCACAGAGTTCTTCATCGGGGAGCGGTGGTTGCAGCCTCCCTGCAGGGTTTGGCTAGGGAAGGGGCTCCGGTGAAGCTCTCTGAGCTGACACGTGCGGGAGGGAAAGGCGAGCGCGCAGCGGCATGCTTGGAAGATTGATGATGAAGAAGAAAAGAGGGAAGAAGTGGGGAGGAGGGGAGATTGCGGGAGAAAATCCGTGCTCTGCTGAAAAGGGTGTATTCACCCTCAGCTGGAGCTGAGCTGAGCTGATTAAGAAGTTAAACATAATGGATCTACTGCAGGGCAGTTTTCTGCTGCAGGAAGCGGTTCTGGTGTTACTAATTTTTAATACCATCAAATACAAGCGTTGTGTTATCAGAATCGTGTAATTATGTGTTGGATAAGCTGTTACCATAGCTGAGTGCATGCTTTTAGGCAGATTCTCTGCAGAGTTTCATCCTGCCAGGGGAGAGGTCTGAGCAGCATTTTGCCCCATTTTAGCCAAAACTTTCATTTCCACATCTCACGCCGTCATCCATAATGAGGAACCGCTGCAGACCGTGGGCAAGGATGCCCCTGGGGGCCGGGCCTGGCTGCGGGTAACCATATCCCTCGGCATGCAGGCACTGCCAGCTCATCGCCCGGCTCACCATGGGGCAGCCCCACGTAGCCCGCATCACGCGGTTCCCGGTTAGCACGGGAGGGCTGCGGCATGCGGCACATCGAGCTGCGGCCATCCATCCCCTGCCACCTCTCCTGTGATCAACAGATGCTACGTGCTGCAGCCGGCAGAGAGCACGGGTGTCCTTTGTAGCTGGAGGCATGGCTGCTGCTGCCGCTACTGCGGTGCTGCTCCGCGCTGTTTGCTTTGCATCCTCTGCTCTGCTAATGAGCCCATGGAGATATAAAATAACCAGATATAAAGCAGACAGTTGCGTTTTCTTTTTACCTCTCTGAAATATTCGCTGGAAAAACATCAAATACTTATTGTGTGCTGAGAAGGGGGGCAGGGGGAGAAATACTATAAGTGTTTAATATTCAAGCAGCAGGAAGTAGGTGAATTTTTTAGGCTGTTTCAAAGTTCTGTGGCATTGCCAGTTCCCCAAACGAAAGCACTGGGATTGCTCCAGAGCTAACCGTTGCCACTGCTTCACGTTCTGGGCTCCTGCAGCAATAAATAAGGGAGAGCTGTGCTGCAGAGCAGCTCAGCATATTGCTGCTGTGCATGTTTCTGGAAGACTTCCATCTCCAAATTGAAAAAATAAATAAAAAAAAGGTTTACATTACTGCTGATTTTCCTACCTGCTGCATAGCAGCCAGCACCCACTGCCACACCACAAGACATCCCTACACCTTGCTGCAGAGCAAGTCAGATGCTCTTCTTGGTGCTTTGGATTTCACACCACTGAGACCATTATGGAGATAGAATTATAGTCTGGTGTGTTATAGCTTCTTGGAGTAGGCTTAGGCTGCTATGAAGATCCTGTGAACCTGGATCTTCGTTTTCCCAATAATTTCCTATATAATTTCTATTTCTATAGTGCCTGATAGGCTGACTGCAAGTAAAATGTGGTATGGTGATATGTGCAATGATTTAAATTGAAAGAATTCAACATCAGCATCAAAAACATTCTTCCTTATTTCCATCTGAGCATGGGTCCATTAGTTGACTTATGGCCTACACATTGCAGAGCAGCAGGTTGTCCATGCAAGCTAATGAGGTGACTTTTCTCCTGCACTTGGGTGGTTACAAATGTTTATCAAAACATAGATAAGGTTATTTCCAGAGTAAGCTTTGCTGCATTCAGATGAGCCATGTGACGTGAGTTTGGTATTTCTTCTCTGCCACTGGTTGGCAAAAATAAGGTCAGTCATCATAAGCTGCATGTCTTTTCTCTAGAACAAGAGAAAGCTTGCACTGGTGTTCCCTCTAGAGTAATCAGTGGAAAAACGGTCTACACAGGCTGCAGTATTTCATTCAGGTGAGCAAAAGCTTACATCAGTGCTCTGCAATGAATGCTGGACATACAGAGAGAAAAGCTCCTACCACAGTGCTTGGACTGCTGAACACTGCTGCTCGTAGATATTTGCTTGCCTTCATAATTGCCATGGCAGATGGGTTTGTCAGGAAGAGAGGAGTAAATTTTAAGTGCCCACCACTGAATACTTAAAGAAAGCAAGATCTAGATACAGAAATGTGAATATTTAGACCAGAAGGCTGACAACTTTCGAAGAGTTGGTTTTGCCCTTTCTTACTCTATCTGGTAACAGTTATAGTGTATGCCATTCTGGCACACAGACAAGTGCCATGGGAAGTGGAAAAGAGGGATCTGTCAGGACATTAATCTGAACACTGGTGAACACAGGCCAGCCACTTGTCTTGCCAGCAGAGAGTGTTTAACCTCTCTGTGCATTCATTTTTGGTCTGTAAACCGTGAGCTTTGCCTGTGTCCTGGAGAGCTGTTAGAGATACACGCAGTACTGTGGAGAGCTTGGATGCTATGGTTAATTTATCAGGGGAGGAAACAGCTAAATAAGCCTCTAAAAATAGAAAGTGTGGTTTTGGAAAAGAAAAAGAGAGAAAGAGAAGGAATCTTTAAAGAGATACGTTGCTAAAGCCACTGCACATGTTTAAGCTGTGATTTTCAGACCCTGCTGGTTTTGAGTGCAGTCCGGGTGGAAAGTGGAGAGATGCAAAACAGCCATTGGGAATTGGAACTCAGGTCTCTGCTTAGGAACAACGAAGAGGTACTGTGTCCAGGGCAGGACACTGACAGCCAGGAGTGGTTGGTTTTCTGATCCCTCTTTCATCAGAGGCCTCCTCAAATCTCCCACCTGGGCGCCATGTAGTGGCAAATCCTTCTGTCATGCCCCAGCATCCTTACCACCTGTTTTTGAGCATAACTTCAACCACAGCATCGGTTGAGTGCTGAATGGAGATGCCTTCAGGAGGCAAGCAATAGGTTCCAACAAAAAGCTGGAAGCCTTCTTGTCAATTAGCTTCTGCACCACACTTCAGTGTGCTCTTTTGCTGAAGACAGGGTGGTGGGTTAAATTTTGTGTGGAAAAGGAGACATTTTTTCACTTAAAAAAATACGTCTGCATTAAGTAGCTCAAAAGTTTGGCATGTGAGTGGTGCTGGAGGAAGTATGCTCAATGGCCAGTAGGTTCAGGGGACAAGTGAGCCAAGTGGTTATTATAATTTAGACAAGTAAAATGCAATGCCCTACAGTTTATGATATGGCCCCATTCTCTCTGACCACAGATATCACTATCAGACAGTAATCTAATTATAGCAAGCATTTACACAATGTAAATATTTTCCATAGCTTACATAGCACTCATAAACCTTGGAAGTTGAAGGCACTGAATGTGTGTATCAGTGCATTCGAGGTACAAATGTCTCGTACATTACATCTGATTCAGTACGTCTATCAGATGAATTAAAGGTAATCACTGGCAGAGTAAACACTAAGGAGAAAGCGTTCACTAGGGCAACTATCAGCACAGGAACTAGAGGTGGTATTCAGGTTCAGACTTCACACAGACTCCATACACAAGGGGGAAATTGCTAAAATGTACTGATTTCTTAGCAAGTAAACCCACTAGTAATAGTGCTCTGCCTTTACCAGTGCTCAGCTCTAGCAACAAGTGAAATATTAAAGAAAAGTTGTTGCTGACATCCAGGTAGCTGTGTCAAAGATAACTCTTGTGAGGAAAGACTGTTCTTCTCCATCTGTGCAATTACAAGTTTGTTGAACTGGATTTAATGCTGCTGAAATGTCATCAGATGTTTGATTTAGTACTGCAGTACTCTGTTGTTTAAAAATAGCACTCTCTGGACATGTGGGGTATACCTTAGATGGATTAAGGGCTGGCTAGCTGACAGGTCTTCCAAAATTGTTGCTAATGAGGGAGACAACTGACGAGGAGTCTTGCTCCTTGGACTGAAGGCAGAAAGCTGACTTTCTCTCTGAATGGAGGTTGTGGTGAGGTGGGGCTCAGCCTCTTCCCCTGGGTAACAGCGATAGGAAGAGAGGAAATGGGCTCAGGCTGCACCAGCAGAGGTTCAGGTTGGGTTTAAGGAAAAACTCCTTCTTCAAAACAGTAATCAGACGCTGGAATGGTCTGCCCAGGGAGGGGGTGGGTCGCCATCCCTGAAGTTGTTCAAGAAACATGTAGAGGTGGCACTGAGGGACATGGTTAGTGGGCATAATAGGAATGGGTTAACAGTTGAACCAGATGATCTTTGAAGTCTTTTCCAACGTTAATGACTCTGTGATTCTATGATTCGTGAACCCAGTTTTCCAGGCTTGAAAGTGTTCTCTATCCATAGTCTGACGTAAATACAAAATCAAGATTATCATGTGATGATAGCACACAGAATGTGAAGGAGCAAGTAATGGTGACACAGAATAGTCTTGCAGAGCAAGTTGGATTATTTGGAAAATGGAATCCTCCTTTAAATGAATTCCTTCACACCTGTGCACAGCGGGTGCAAAGGTGGAATGATGCAGGAGACTGCATCAAATGCAGGAGAGCTTGGAAAAGGGAGAGGAAGGTACTGTGGGAGATCATTCAGAGAGAATGAAAACAGAATTGTTGTTCAGACACCAAGATTAGCTTCACACCATTGAAACCAGCCCTGGGGCACATTTAGATGCCCTCCAAAAAGAAGGCTGGTACTTATACCTACAAAATTGCAATACAGCTCTTTGAGAGTAGCAATAGAAATGATATTCTGGAAAGATAGTATTAGTATGATTATAATATCACCTTCACTGGTAACCCAGATGACCTATTTTCCTGGGCTGGAACCTCAGCAACTGCAGTACCATAGAATCATATAATTGCATAGAACGATACCAATAAATTTGAGCAGACTTATTGACAGAATAACGAATATCCTTTCTTTGTTTTATTCCCTAC